TTGTGGGGAGGGGGGGGGCCTTTTTTCCCCCCCCCCCCCCCCCCGTTTTTTCCGTTTTTTTTTGCCACGTTTTTCCCCCCCCCCCCCCCCCCCGCCAATACCAAATTTTGTGTATTTTGCCGTTTGCCATTTTCTTGCTGAGGGTTGTCGACAACCCAACTCTGTACCCTTGTTACCACGGGGCTAAGTAGTAGCCTGTGTACGGTGCTACCCGAGCGGTTTGTTAAAGGGGACACACCGTCGGTTCTTCAGCTATCTGGGAGGCCGGACTAGAGTAGCGAAAGAGGAGAGGACGAAAGGCGAGAGGGAGGGCGAGGCCCACGCAGGTCCAAGCTTGATTCGATTTGACGGTAGAACTACTGTACAGCACCTCCTTACTGGAAGATATCATCTATCTTCCCCGGGAGTAACCATGCCTCGAGTCAAGAGGGAATCATCGGCTGCTGCCGCCGACGCGCGGAAGGAGCAGAAGTTGGCACCAGAAGTGCAGGTGAGGAGATACTCTACTGCGACAGCAATCGCTCCAAACTGTAGCTGCTTCCGTATCTCCAGTCTCCAGTCCTTGGTGAGTGTCTCGCTTTGGCGCCAACATATCTCATCGGCGGATGTCTCTGTTGCACCTCGCTCACAGGGACGTAAGGCTTTTGTAGATGCAGGGCAAGCTTTCACCTCAACGCTCGATTTAACCCGCATTTCCAATGTTTTGGGCAGCAAGCAGGGTGTCAGGTGCCTCAAAAGGCAGCCAAAACATGGCCAAAATGTTAGTTTCACCGCGTCCACGACGCCGCTGCATGTACCCATCCCCCCCCATCAGCATTTGCAGCTCTACAGCCGTACTACTGTACCACATGAACTTGGCACATAATAGGCATTTGCAGGTCTACAGCCGTACACACAAAAGAGGTTCTACCTGCGTATCGTATGTGTAGTGTAGGTGATGGGAGGGCCGTACCCGTTGTTCCAGTATATAGGAGTTTCAGTACAGATTGCTGTGCTTGTGGCCTGCGGGAGACATGCAGACTCAAACATATTTACTTTGCGCAATCTAGTCTGCATTGCGATCAGCAATCTATCGGTAGCTATTTCGGCCAGCATCGTCCATCGATATAGTTACGTTGCGGCCAGCAATGTCAGACAATATCGTCAAATTTGCAAGTAACTATCGATAACACTTTCATACATCCTTCCCTTTTGACAATGGATATCGATTGAACCTTTGAACTTTGAAAGTCTACTGATACTTACTCTGAACAGACTCAACCTTCGCAAATCTGTTACGTTTGAACATGGATGGATATCAACAGCACCTTTGAAAATCTATCGTTAGTGACAATGGATATCGAAAGGAAATTCAAAATGTATTGTTTTTGACGATGGAAATCGAGAGAAACCGTAAACACCTGTTGTCCCTGACAAGGAATGTCACAGTTTTTCTCATGGTCCGTTGTACATGGCAACACCACCGTTGTTCCTCCGTTGTCCAGAGGGTATTTCAAAGGTTCCCTCGTGCACAACAAGAGGAAGCACTGCATGGTGTGTAGCACGGCGTTCGGACTGAGTCCGTGGAACAGCATGAGTCTAGGTTGTCCCAAGAACGATGGAAGCTACAGGCATCGCACCATGCTTCTCTTAAGGCCGCACTGGGGATCGCTGTACTTCATCTTCAAAAAAACAGGAAACGCCTGGAAACGCCTGCATATCTCGGTTTTCCAAAGTCGAACTTCAGTACGAAAATTCTATCGCATATTAACCGTCCGCCGACCCCCCCTCGTGTACAATGTTAGTAGCTGAGGTTGTAGCCCTTGCGATACACTACAGACTAGCGGTCCGCGATTTTCCAAGCGATCCTTCTATCATCGAGTTCGGTGAGCTACAAGCTAGATTTTTTAAACTGCTGTGCGGTCCAATTTTGAAACGCTTCAAGCACACGGTGAACACGAATCACCGCTTATGTGAGTGTATGGGGCCGCGAACTTCAGCGCAGCTCTTCCCTCACATATCCAGCTGGTCGCCGTTGTCGATTTGAATGCCTGGGATCATGTATATGCATGTCTAGCCTTTAAGCAAAGGTGCTTGAAGCGTTTCAAAATCGGACCGCACAGCAGCTTCAATAATCTAGCTTGTAGCTCACCGAACTCGATGATAGAAGGATCGCTTGGAAAATCGCGGACCGCTAGTCTGTAGTGTATCGCAAGGGCTACAACCTCAGCTACTAACATTGTACACGAGGGGGGATCGGCGGACAGTTAATTTGCGATGGAAGTTTCGTACTGAAGTTAGACTTTGGGAACCCGAGATATGCAGGCGTTTCCTAGATTTTTCAGAGGAGGTACTGCGATCCCCAGTGCGCCCTTAACTTCCCGCAAAAAAATGCAACGTACCTCTTCGCCGAACGAACTACCTTTCACATGCATATCGTATGCATAGTTCTAATGCAAGCTGACAGAGTCATGAACTGCTGTGGTTCTCTTGAAAGCTCCTTGATTTCAAAGGGGCATCTCATGCGGACAGACACTTTCCTTCTTTTTACACAGGGTGCGACACTTGTACCACAGTGCGTGGTAACATCGATGCGAAGCATAGCAGCGGGCGGCCCGCGCAGGCCAACTCCTTCAACGTTTGTTTTATTCAAGTTCCTAGGATAGTTGACGGCAGGGGGAAGCCCTTTCCCCTCCATCCATGGTACCTCCGGCCATCGTCTCTCGATTCCCGTCGTAGGCTGTCAAGCAAACAGACACACTTTGGTTTTCTAGCAATCCAGCGTTTTGCGCACGTCTCGCGCGATAACATTATTATTGTACGAAGTTCGTGTTTCAACCAGGGTTGAACAAGACAATCGTCTGTGCACAATCGTCTGTGCACGAAGAGGGTAGGGGAATAGAACTGACCGCCTTCGGGAGGATTTAAATTGTTGATCTACTCGAAGTATGAGTTTTTTTTTCATTGTGTCCGTGAAATCTGCTGCCGATTGCGGCAGGAAATTTGCGAATCGAATCTACATTAAGGATACGCATGCGAGTATGGCAGGCAAATTTGCGAATCGAATCTACACTCAAGATATGTCATGCGAGTTTTGGAGTACGATGACGCCGGGACTTCGACCCCATCGCCGCCGTCCGTCCCAGACGTGTTGCCAGGCCGTTCGCAAGCTCTTCGTGGAGGCCCAAAGGACGGTCCAGTGCCACCAGCGTTGCAGCGACTCGCTTCCGCGGCTGCTCTCTAAGCATGAGGTGCGTATCTCGCTCGCGCGCAGTGTTGCCCCACGGAGTTGCGGTTCGCACGAAGGACACAAGGGTATATGCCGGTTAATGTCAGGATTGGACGGCAAAGGCGAGGGTCCGTGGATCTGTCGGGACAGAAAACCGTACCGCTTTGAGCGCTGTTCCGTGGGTTTTTGCGACTAAATTAGATTTTTCTTGCTTCGCTGCCGCCCACTACAGCGATGTACAACTCACCGACAGGAAGCGACACTCTTGCCTTTGTTGAGAAACGCAGATTACGGAGCGAGCAGGGTCTGTCTGCCGTTAGCGAGCAGTCGTTGCACAGAGGTTTGCACGGAGGTTTAGGAAAACCCCAGCCTCACCACCGCCCCGCGTGTTGTTACTGCCCGCTTCCTCCCTTGACGCACGACGGTTTGCAGTCGGCTTGGGATGAGTACTTCTCGTGCTTGACCCGCATCCTGGTGGTCTCGAAGCGCGACCCTGGCGTGGAGCGTCTGGTTCATTTCGTTTCTCTGGCCGCGGGCTCCGATGTGAACGGTAAAGATATCGGTCGGTGCAGATATAAGTACATGTAGCGATCCCGCTTTTTCAAGTGTGCGATACCCCCCCGCCGGACCCACAGCCTCACGGTATCGGCTCAGCATGACCAGTGCTGGCTTGGATCTCTCTTTTGCCGGCGGCATAGGTTTGCAGGCCGCCGCCGCCGCCGCGGCGTGGTGCGGTGGAGCAAAAGGTTCTCGCCGTAAACGGAGATCGAGGTTGTATTTATCACTCATGTGCTTGATAGACATCGGTCTTGGCTGCACCCCAGCCATACGCTGCCGGCTGCTGCGCTGGGTCCATGGCATCGTGCTCGAGGCATCCTTGCAAATATAAATGTATACTGTGTATCGCTGTATGTGGGCGAGAAGCTAAGAACGCATGGATGAGTACTCGACAGAAGGAGGGCGAGATTAGCCCCACACAGCAGTGCGGCTTGGTCATTGTCCCTCTTTCTCTCTCTCTCTCTCTCTCTCTCTCTCTCTCTCTCTCTCTCTCTCTCTCTCTCTCTCTCTCTCTCTCTCGGTGAACCCTCTTGCATCACGTTGAGCCCCGGACGATCTTTGGCCTCGACCGGTTTCGTTCGTGCGACACCTTCCTACCTACTTACCTACCTTTTGCCTCTCAAGGGTTTGGTCAACTCCCACAGCTACACCTTTGTTTCTTTGTTAACCGTTCGCCTTGATCGTGGTCGTGCGTGCCCGCCCCCTGTGCTGGTGTCCAGCGAGCCTTTTCGACCGTACGGTCGAGTTCCTGCTGCTGCACTCCGGAGCGGCGGACAAGGCTGTTCGCTTCCGTTGCTGCCAGCTCCTGGGCACTCTCACGACGGAATACACGCAACGTCCCCAGGTGGACGAGGAGGACCTGGACTGCTTCGTGGACGTTTTGCTACCCCGCCTAAGAGACAAGGTCAGTTCGATTGGTGTAGATAAAGATTGTATACGTAGGTGGCGTTTTTATTTTTTTGTGCCGCGAGTCTAGATGTATGCATGTTGCGCGTGATATCGATTGACTACGCTTGCCAGTTGACCTTCGAGGCACATATGTTAACTTGGCTTGTTCGTGAGGCGGCTGGTGTTTCCGGCGGATGAGGTAAAGTTATTTTTTCCAGGTTTGTGGCCACCCCACCCCCCGGCGCCTTGTGTCGAAGGAGAAGCTGAGCAAGGGATTATTTTTTCTTTTTGGCTGAACGGACTGCAGACCGCCGCCACTAGCCTGTATTGGTCGAAGAGACCAACACGAAACGAAAGGGAACGTGCGCAATGAAAGCCTCCCCTGAGGCCACCGTCAAAACGACCGGGTGGTCGCCAAGTACCCCCGCGAGCACACCGACAGCAAATATTCGCATTTTTTTTTCGTTGAACGTTTGGTCAAGGCTCGGCGATGATGCGTGCGCACCACCTCTACCAAACGCTGCCCTACCGTCTGTGTGTATACGCCCCCCCCCCCCCGTCGTTGTGTTAAAATGGTCAAGCATCCTCGAGGCAGTTACACAGTGCTTACAACTGTCTCTGGAAGTGAAAGCACCAGAAAATAAATTAAGTCATACGCAGCTGTCATCCGTACGCAAGGAAGTAAGCACAAGATGCCGAATACCCTTAGCAGGATGTAGCTCACCCTTCATGCGACTCGCCGAATACCTCACGGCGCTTCGCGCTTGGTGATGTGAGAGCCTGGTCCGGTGAGAACCCGGCGTGCTCCGTCCCGGCTTTGTAGGGATGCGAGGTCAATGGTCTAACGACTACGGCATGCACGACTATGAGTACACCCCCACCCCCCCCCCGTCTCGCTTCCCATGCCTACGGGGAACAGGACGAAGACTATCAAACCCTTGTGCAAAGTAGGGCAGACACGTGTCAAGCGCGCGACTGCTGTTGACGGTGTCCCTTGTTTCTATTGCATGGGAGCGGCTCTCATCCTACCAACTCCCAAAGGGGGTGCGTTGTAGATCACCAACTGAGCTCAGAACAAGTGCTGAAGTTCCCTCCCACCCCGTCGCCACCCGCGCTCTTTGTGTTGGGTGATACAGGTCGCAGCGGTGCGGGTGCAGGCGGTCGGCGCCCTGCGGCCGTTTCAGTTCGGTCTTGAGGCCGGCGACGACGAGGATGCCCTGAAGGACGACAAGGTGCGGTCGGAGCTAGTGAGGGCCATGGTGAGCGACAGCAGCCCGGACGTGCGTCAGGCGGCGCTGGCTGCGGTGACCAAGACGGTCGGCATGTTCGATCAGGTACGTCCAGTAGGGGGTGTTGATCGACAAACCCGTGTTGTTCTCCTTCCGCGTTTAGGACTGCAGATCAGGTCCCACGTTGTGCGAAGTGTGAGGAACAGCACGGCCGTGTGCCTGGTGCTGGTGAGGAAGCGCCTTGTTGGTTCGCGCGGACATAGGCTTTGGTCCTGAGGCGATCGACCTCGTGTCACAGCAACAGCTTGTTTCTTTAGCCATGTTCCGTGTGTGTCAACTGCTGTTACCCAAGAAGTACCGACATGTGCGGGACAGTTTGCACCAAGTACAGTATATGCTTTCCGAGTTCAGAGTATCCGCTCTTAAAAGCAAGTACGTTGCCGGTCGGTACTTGAAGTTGTTTCGCCTCAAAAGTGTATTTTGTGGTCACGGATCCGCCTCTTGGGCCACAGTGGCCCAACGCTGGGGAAGTGGACACCGAAGGAATCCGTACTTCTCTTCCTGATGTTTTTGATTGTCCTCTTCCGCGTTGATTTATGGTCTGTCCATGGTTGGTTAGGTCCGATTTTATGCCGAGGTCTTCATCGATGTTTTCGGCGGGAGAAGGTGTTTGTGCGACCCTCACCCGTGTGCTCTGAGGGCGGGCGTTAGTGTTTGTGTGTGTGTGCTTCGCTTTTCTGTCATGAAGTGCTTTGTGTCGTCTGCACCATCAGTACCAATTCCCAGCAAGGACGACAGCGGTCGTTGTAAGAATGCGTGATGTCCTAGGCTCGGGATGTCCACGGCCTCCTGGTGCAGCACTGGTGTTGGATAGGACTCACGACATTCGAGATGTATGTACCGCGTGGCCCGTTTATCCCGTTCGCGCCCCCCTCTCCCTCATTGACGCACCCGCCGCGAAACCTACACGCAGTTGGTGCTCCGGACACAGGACGTCAAGGAGAGTGTCCGCAGGGCAGCTTTTCGGACCCTGGGGGAGGATGTGAGAGATTAGGCGTGCCGTCGCATCGCTAAGAAGAAGCTAGTCAAAGAGATTATGAGGAGCCTGTCGAATGTTTGAAGTCATGCCAGGGCTCGGGGTGATGTAGTAGTGGGTATCTTGGCCCTGTGTCTATTCCCTGCATGTGCGCCGACCCCTCAACCTGTGTTCTCATATCCATCCTCGTGTTCAAAGTACACTTGACCCCCGTTGACTCCCATAACCCATCCATCCACCCACCCATCCACCCACCCGCTCTTCCGTGACGACGGCGGGCATCTGCTGACCCCCCCCCCCCTCCCCATACAAAGGTGTCTTCCAAGCTCCTGAGCCCGCAGCAGAGGGTAACGCTCGTGAAGAGGGGTCTCTCGGACAGTTCGGAGGCGGTCGTGGATGCTTGCCGTTTCATGGTGTGCGTCCACTGGTTCCGCGACGCGGAGTACGACCCCATGGAGCTGCTGCAGCGCCTGAACGTCGTGAATGTGGAGGTGTGTGCCCCCCCGTCCCACGGGACGCGACGAGCTTGCTGCATTGGAAGACGGCCAGAAGACTCTGAACAGATAGACTCTGTACATCAGATTGCCACGCATGAAGGGGGAAAAAATAAAGCAACCATTTCGTGTGTGAAAATCGGGCTCATTGCTGTCGCGAGACCACCAGAGTCGGTGGTGGCCCGGTGTTGTGAGACACGATTGCTCACCATGTTATTTAGTGTTCTTGAGGAACGTGGGAACGTCAAGTCCATCGTTCTTGGTGTTCTTTTTTGTTGTCCTTCTGCGCTGGTGTCGCAGTCCCACTCTCTTTGCCTCAGCATCACTGGAAGAAGCCATTATTTCCTCTTTTTTGTGTCGATGTGGCGTCCTTGTGCGACGTGCCGTGTTTGCTACGGGCTCACTTCCTATTCTCCCCTCCCCTCCCATCCCATCCCATCTGTGTTTCCTCCCATACCCACCCAACCC